ATTTTCAAAGGAAAAAAAATACCTAGCCTTTTTATATTACACCATAAAGTCCGAATTACGTTTTTTTTTTATGTCAAATACATTAAAGTCGTAGCTACCGCGATAATAATAATTCAAGGTATAAACGACGAATTCAATTTCAATTCTTTACCGCAAACTTATTTTTATTGCACAAGACGATTAACGCCCGGTAAAGTGGGCGAAGAAGAGATTTTATTATTTCCAAGACTTACGGCGCACTTAACTGGGGTTGAATACAAAAAAAATCGTTACAGTACATTGTGATGGCGATCGTGGCAAAATGTATACTAATCTAACTGTATAACGTTCATATCTAATCGACCATTATAGGAAAGCTTGTGAAAATAGTAGTACTTTTTCGTACCTAATAATTACTAAAATAGCTCACGCAATAAATGTACAAATATTTATGACCCCTTTTGTATTTAAAGTATTTACTGAAGAAACTAAAATACGGGTCGATTTGGTCGTTGTTTGTTGATTGAACGGGTGTTAGCAATGTGTTGGAGAACAACTTAGACCGAACCAAGTACAGCCTGCGAATTAACGATATACATACGATATTTTTTAACGTATATCTTTAATTTGTTCACCATTCTTTTAAATAACAAAATATTTTAACTCAATCATATTTTTTTTGTTCATTAGGTGTAAAAAGGGTGATTTTTTCATATGTCGACGTGTTCGCTTATGCGAAAACCTAACTTTTTACATTTACCATTTGTATGCGGTAACCACTTACGAATATAGTCGGTGAGCTTAATATAATGTGCATGTCGACATACGCCGATACTTGTCGACATTTAACATTAATCGGTGAACATGCATAGTGACACATAAATAAACGAAAAACGCTACCAGTGACCTATCTGTATTGAGTATTAACGCCAGTTATAATATGCTCAATATACACCATTCATTAGTGCATAATTGTTGCATAATATAATAAATAAGATTAAAAAACATTTTTCATCGTTTACACATTATATAATTTGTGTTTGAATTTATATTCACCATTATTTTTGGTTCGGTGTAATAGAACCCCAATCCAACCAACAAGTTTGTTATTTTTATTTAAAATATAATATACATGTATGTGTTATAGTATTCCCTCGGCGCGCTGAGAGGGCGAGTCTAGCTGCCGTCGTTCGCACTTACCATACACTTTCTAATTACGTCCGGTATCAGTTGTATTTAATACAATAATAATAATATTGCCGTTGTATGATAACAAACTTATTAAATGGGCTTCCGACTTCCGTGTTGGCTCGTCGACCCCGCCGTTATAAAAATAAACATGTCAACATAGGACGAGTCGCCTCGCTTACCCGGCACGTTAATCGCGGCGTTATCACAAACGTAAAACGACGGCCTAGAGTTATTAAAATTACATTATTACCGTACGCCGACTGTGTATACCGGCTCGCATGGATAGCATGTTTTCACGGGGGTCAGAATGCAGTTTGCGTCTTGTGTGAATATAATATAGGGTCGTGTTGCGTGACAACGGTCCGGGGTACTTAAATATACTGCTCTGTGTACCCAGTGCTCGGGGTATACGCCCTATATGATATGGTATACTTCCACAATAACATTATTGCGATGCACAACAACAAAAAGCTCGTCGTCTTAAAAAAAAAAAACCATTGCATGCTTTCGTACAGAGTAATAATAAATAAAAAGGAATTACCGACTGGCTGCGCGGTTTACAGCTGGAATTCGAGGCGGCACGGTGGTAGGTATAAGGGGGGGGGGGAAATCCTCAAAAGGATTTGGCCGAACTAGAGGGAGGGGTTAGGGTAGAGGTATTCGGTGAAAAAAATAACACATATACCACTCGATATCCGTAAAAAAAAAGTATGTACTTTTATTATGCGTCGTATCTTCGGCAGACTGTAAACACTTGGAGGTTTTTGTCATATCACGTTGTATACACACTCACGTGTATAGCTTACCGGCGCGTGCGAGAGACTTTTTTATGGTCTCAGCCGGTACCAAAGTTTATCTCGATAACGCTGTTATATATTGTATTCGATTGGAAAACCGCCGAGTGTGTTTTCCGCTATTAGCGTTGGCTACCCGTATTAACGTATAGGATATATTATAACAATGCATGTATATATGTATATGTACACGTGAAGTACTTAGGTTTTACGGTCATATACAATAATAACGTATAAACTAATTCCGAAGCCATACTAAACGGATTTAATACACGTTGCTATTTGAATGTTAAAGTTACCCTTTAATATTACATTAAAATTTAAAGTTAAATGATAGTTAATATAGTTTGGATAATTTAAATATTAGGAAAAACAATCTATTTAGAAATATTTTTAGATATATTTAATGCAAATCACGTCCAATTTGAAAAAAATCATCACTGATTATTGCCTTATTATACAATTTTATGGAGATGTTCATTTTTTAAATCATTAAATCATTCATACACTTTTCTAGTGTATTAGAATAGTGTATGGGTTATATAAATATACATAACATTATAATACATTTATTTATCATGTTTTTAATAAAAACGATACTACAACATATTGATGAAGTGATATACATTGAATATTATCAATTTGATAATTTTTTTACCTATCATTTCAAACTTTTGGCTATTTAACAAAATTATGTTTGATTTCACAGAGGCTTATAAAAAAATCTTTAAAGGAATTTGATTCAATATATCTCAAAGAAAATGTTTATCTCCCTGTATATACTCATAGAATAGTAGGCTAACTCTATATAATATAGAAAATATTTAAACGTTCCGGTTTTTATTCTATTTTTTATGTATTTTTTGTTCTGCACTTATCTGTGAATTCAATTTAGGCGAGTACGGGAAAATGTAAATAAAAAATCATCTTATCGCATTACGAACTCGGTAATATATGCGCTTGTTATGTATATACTTAGGTATCCTTTTTATCGAACAAAAAAAAAAAAGGAAAAAGTTGATAAAGTGTGTTCGGCAGTTGTTCACGACGAAAACTTTTCTCTTATTCGCGAAATCGAAAAAAGATAGACATTTGTTACCAACAAAGTAGTAAACAAGAGAAAATTGAACGGAGAACCCCATTTAGAAAAAAATTGTGTCTATTCCACACCGAACTCATTCATCTTTAGCACTTTGCCCATAATGAAAAAAAAAAATAATGTCGGAAACATCTGCACAATTTGAAATTAAAAAAAATCGCACAATCGATAACGACGAACAATCTTTTATAGTGTTTCTTTTGATTGGCTATTATTAGTGTATAGGAACATGTTATTTTTCTCGATTTGATTACAGTATATTATTATTTCATAATATTGTAATTTACTAGGACGCTTTTAAAGAGAGGAGAATGAATGTAGACATTATTAGATATTATAACATTGAAAATGTTATTAATTAAAATAAATTCAAAGAGCAATCAACGTTAATTGTATACATGACTATTAGATATTATAACATTGAAAATGTTATTAATTAAAATAAATTCAAAGAGCAATCAACGTTAATTGTATACATGACTTACAAAATGCCATTGGCCAGTAATTATCACTATGAAATAATTAAAATCTCAGTATGTGTAATTTTAGAAAGCAACATTATATATTTGGTTGGTTTTTAATAATGCATAAAAAAATTCCTATAACTACCAGTTAAAGTAATATTTATATATGAATATACGAGTATATCAATATTATATGTAATATATAAATTTATTTATTTTTTGTTGACATTAATTGGAACGTTATAAAGTTATTTCGATCATGTAATATAATATGTAAACAAAAATGTTATTTGTAATTTATGCAAAAAAAGTGTATAATTTTTAGACTTTAAGTAGTTACATCATACTGTATAAATATTAGATATTTTATTAAGTTGGTAAAAAAACCGTTTAAGTTTGCAAGAAGTGTCGGTGTAGCTATATAGGTAGCGTTAAAAATAATAATACAATTTTCGAGCTGACACTTGTGTTTTATGAGATTCCATATATTACTCACGCCGTGCAATATCTGACAAATCGATTTCGGCAAAATTGACTGACGTGCCCGGTCGAATGGACTTAAAACATCTCCCGACTGTATAATATATATATATATATGCGATGGCCTTCCATCACGTGCACCGGTGCAAGGGTGTTGAATTGAGTATAGGAAGGTTTTGAATTATTCATTGTGGGATTTATTTTTTTGGTTAAACGCTTAAACGAAACGCGTGTTATCGTTTTGGATTTATTTTGTTGTTTTTAGAGAGACCTAAAGGCGCACGTCTGTGCGGTCAAAGGAAAAAAGGACGGGTACAGACAACGCATCGCTCGTTAGTGGTTTTTTTGCACCGCACACACGATGATGCAAAAATCAAGTAAACCCACTTCTGTGCCTTTGACTTGGCGAACGTTGTTTTTAATCGCGTATGCTCGTGCGCGCTAATTAAACCTATACCCTTTGAAGCAGCAGCCGGTCTCTTTGTGCAATGCATGCATGGCTTACGGAGCCGTTGGTATAGGAACGTAACGGGCAAGATTAAAAACAATTCGTACGCAGGAAAAACAGACACTCTCCAAATTACCGCGCTTCCTTTCGTTAATGCTCAAGAACCTTTTTTTTTTTTTAGCTGTGTGTTATTTTCACTGTTGCGCGTTCTTTGTCATTTGCCATCCCCTTATAATTGACATAATCCGGCTTATTTGTTCGAACATCTCTCGTCGAGAATTAAAAGCCTTTCTCTCTCGCTCTGGCCTCTCTCTCTCTCTCCGAGTCTCAAGCACTCGTCTTGTAAAACACCGGGTCAATTACTGTTTTCTTTAACTACAAAACCCGCCCGCCACCGCTCGGGGTTTCCAACGTAATTACCATTACGTTAACGCCGGGACGGTCTACCGGTAAACGGTCTCCGAGTTAAAACCCTGTAGGGGCTGTTTAAACTATACTACACGGTATTATAATAAACGTTGTCTTGTTTTGTTCTTTCCACCCAGGTCAAAGTCATTCTCAGAGTGGCCACGGGACCGGCAGATGAACCCTCGCAGCCGTCGGCCGATGAGCAAACCGACCGTGGAAACTTTATGTCTGTCGACCAGAAACACAGACAACTCACGTTGGTCGACCCGAACGCTCCGGTGCCGTCCAGTGACGGTAATCGACGAGTGGGCGTGGCCGCGCCTAAGATGTTCGCGTTCGACGCTCTGTTCACGCCGGAAGACTCTCAGGTGATTTATAATAATTACATTTAATGTGACTGAACCAACCAAGACGATTAAACGGTGCAATTAACAGTAATAAATAGCGTCAACGTGCAATCGTGCGAATGCCAGTAAAATCACTATTGCGCAGTGATAAAAATGGCAATCAATAGGTACAACTATTATGGTTCTTATGTTACTAATTTGTAATTGATAACTGAATGTAACGGTCACGATTATGTTATATTTTGGTGAAGAAGACATCCAATAAAAATCGATAAAAATTGAACTTGAGACATTCTCTAAATTTTTGACCTGGGGGAATTTCGATAGAGCTTTGTATATCCCTTAGCTTTATAAAACTTTAACAAATTTAAAAATTGTCCTAGAACAAATTTTTTTTAAATTATATAAGTAAAATCTCCTATTTCAAAATTGATACCAAGTCTAGGCGTTTTCTTACTGTAAGATCGCTGAGAAAATAGCATCTTTTGAAACATATTTTAATCAAAATGCAACTGGTATTAAAAAGCACAGCAAGGATATTGTTTTAGCAACTAACACATCTAGACTATCATAAAAATAATTGTAAAGCTAAGATTTTTTTTAAGTATTAGCCTTCGGCTTATAACTCTTGATATAAAACTAATTCAATTCTGTAATATTTTATTTTTTCAGTAGACAATCATATTATCTAACTTAAAATCAAATAATATCCAGTACTATACTATATTATATTGTTCTGAATTGCAAAATTTTAATACCATATGGAAATTGCTTTTGCACATGAATAAATCCGTTCCAAGATATTGTCATATTATGTCGACTTCTTATTATTTTGTATTGTGCAATCATTTATTACAAAACCTATTGTATTATTGTTATTTGTCGTGGAACGTTATCCGCGTCTTAGGAGTTAGCTTAACAAACAAAACAATTCTGCCTACGATATAGTTGTTGAATTATAACCGGGTACTTTACGGCGAGACCTGAATATGTTAAAGTGGTATTTAAAGGAAGTGTACATTTAGCCTATATACGTTGTTTGCGCAATGCGGTGGTGGTCGGAGGTCGTCGACGGCGTGGTGAGATGCAGGTAGAGCATTTAACTGCAATTGGGGAGGGTTTTTTTTTTTGGAACATAGAGGCTGCAGGAACGCCGCCGCGTTTAGGGGATGGGAGACAGTATAATTCGCCCAACAGACATAAATCTTTCGTGCGATCGTGTATGTGTATACCGAAGCGTGGTATCTCCCTTAGCTATTACCCCGCCACAAAGCTATGTACAAAAGTATCGCCGAGAGCTTAAACGTATGGGATTTCCCGGGCGGCGACCGAAGACGGCGGTTTACTGCCTAATAAAAATCCGGTTAACGGATATCCGTTTATCGGCCGACGTATCAAGGATAATAATTACTTCAAACTCAAGTGTGGGCTACAAACAGCTATTAATTGTAAGTGCTGTACAGGCCGCGGGCGATTGGCGAAGCGTTATACTCTAATTGATTGCCTATCTATGACTCGATCTAAATCTTTAACAATTTTATCCAGCATCAATAATGTTAACATTTTTGCTTACTTTAAACAATACTACTGTCGCTTTTACCTTTAAATTTTTTAAGTTTTACATTTGCATAAACAATATATATATATATATTTTTTTTTTTTTTTTGAAAGCCATTGTGTTATATCGTTAAATACAAGTCATGTTTTATTTAAAGCTGTTAATTTTTGTAAGCCAAATACACACATATTGTGGGCTTGCAGAGTGAAAATGTGAGGTCAGCGAGTGGCGACGACGAAGAGGGTGCGGAGACAGTTTCCAAAATTGGCGTAAAAATAGAAAGAATTAGTAAGTGCGGGACACGTCGTAGTAATATATCAAAGTTGACGCCAGTGCCGACTATACGTTGTTAGTCCCCTGTGGTTTAGCTAATCTTGTTTGGATTTTTTTTCCCTATTAGTCAGCTTCTTTTGACTCATAGTGAAATCCCACAACTAGCGTGATTACTGAGAACATGTGCCTACTGCCAAAATAAAGTTCTACAAACACACACAAAAAGTATACATTGCAGCGGCGAAAACGAATTGGCATGGTAGTGCGTGTTACTCCAATTACATTTTATTCAATCTCATTTTTGTTTTATCAACCAAAAGGTCTAAACCTTAAACGTCTGAACTTACGAACCAGTGTACCTAACTAATAACAATTCTGTTTAAGTTTGTTATCGATAAAAATTAAAATTTAACTTATTGTTTTTTTTAAATACTTAAATTGTTTAATATTTTACAGGAAAATATTAATATTTTTAAATCGTATTTTGGCAGAAAATCTGTGATTCTAAACTCAAGTGTTAATTCCGACATACTACCAAAATGTTCTACATTAGTAATAATTAAAATAACTGGACTAATTTCAAATATTATACTTAATATTTTCCACTAAAACGCTTTAACAAAGTATTTGAAGTGATAAAAATTAAAAACCAAACAAGTACGTAAATAGTTTTTTATCTGTGTTTATTTTACATTTATTATTGAGAGAGATATTGGAAAAACTAATGAGCGTTGTCTCATACTAAAGAATAGATTGAAAATTGAATTATCAATTTTCGCTTCCGTAATATTGTATACAAATCACTTCTTATACTCTTTTGGTTCTCGCCACTTCACTTAGAAAACCGGTGCGGTGTGGAGGTAGTTTTCAAAAGTCCCAAAGCCTTGAACACAACACAATATTGTGTAGATACTAGATACCTGAGAGGATATAATATTGTATAGTTATGTTTATTTAAACTCTATCGAAAATTAATATTTACTATAAATGCAAATTAAACGTTTACCGTTATAGTCGGTACACAGTTAACCGAAAACTCGATGTTTGTTTGAATAAATTTTGTCGTAGAAGTGCACGGCAAACATTCGCGTTACCCATTTGAAAGTTCACCTATAATTTGTAGAAGTGATCAGTGTTAACTATAGTTTACATTACACTCGGGCTTAAGGCCTGAGTAAATACACAACGGTAATACGTGCACTAACAATAATAATAATTGTTAGTTAATTTATGTGTAGAAAATATTGTATCCTACACCATAAGCACTTGTTGAGCGCGAAAAATAAACATCTAAAGCGACGGCGTATTATTATAATAACCGCTTGGTGTGTACAAATAATGAACTGTTTACAACATATTGTTTCGTTTTATAGACTGTACATTTTATAACATAGAGAGTAATTGAAAACATATTTAACCTTTAAGACTTTTCAGATTATACCTATTTAACACTAGACGACCGGGGACCATAAATATCTATACTTTTATACGATTAACTAAGGCTTTAATTACTGTTTTCACTAATTGCACCGTTCGGCCTGTTTGGATTGGTGTTGGAGATAGTACATCTCGTTTAGTCGCTGTTTTAATATTAAACCGTTAATTCTAACCTGTTTAATTGGTTTTGACAGGTGGACGTGTGCAGTGCCGCTTTAATGGACGTTATACACGCCGTCATTCACGGCACAGACGGTTCAGTGTTTTGCTTCGGTCAACAAAATTTAGGTAGGTAATTCGGGTTGAATGTAATATACTCATATTATATGCTAGCAAACGTACTGCGCATGCATTTTATTATGTCGAACTATTCGTTCGTAACAACATTACTGTTAACCGTCACGCAAACAGCATCGGGTGTTGTTTTAAACACACATGCGAACACAAGTTTTATAGTTTTAATGATACAAAACTTGCAGAGGACTTGCATACATATGATAAGCTCTTCGAAATTCAATCAAGCCCCCGCAAACTGTTCGTAACTTAACTAATGCAATTATTGATTTGATGCAACGAAAACCAATGCATTTTGAATTAGTGTGACACCAAAACGATATTCTAAAATATCGCTAAACTCAGAGAAGACTCCAGTTTAGTTATAGTTACCGATAATTAATGATTTGTATTCTCTCGCAGTACAAACTCGGATCTCATTTTAACATGACAACGTGCATAGGACATAATAATATTGTATGTACATGTATGAATCGTTTTCGGCGACGTAGTGCAGTATAATATATATTTTACACCGGTCGGGTGTTCGGTGAATTCCGACAAAAACATTACCCTTGTTATTATGTACAAGATTTCGGCAGGCCTTTGCCCGCATTTTGAATTCAACAGGCGACGGGTACGTCTCGTCCGCCGTGGGAACACGAGCCTGCTTCCACGATATCCTTCGCCTCCGCCTGTCCCTCGTCTCGCCCACCGCCGTTGGTGTTTCGTCAAACTTTGCTGATTGTACTATACACCTACTAACACACAGAAGTAAACTTGATTATACCCGTCCCTGTTGTCTTTTGCCCGTACAACAACAGCACGGCAGCGACTATCCATCTGCGTTTTATGCATTCATAACTTGTCGGTATAAACTTTAAGCACGCCAGGTTCGCCCTGGTCTACGCACTGTCCCGAATACGCAATCAACGCCGACAGCAGCACCGTAGGAACACTATATCATGCATACAATATATCCGTTGCAGTACCCACTAGTGTCTATTGAAAGCATCACGCTGAATGCTGCTTCGTTTGACTAGCCGTGAATATTATAAAACCGGTGTGACACCACTTTGTTGAAATAAAAAATGTTCAACTTTGTTTTTATCATTTTGGAATAGTGTAAAGATAAGAATATTTTTTTAAAAAAACTCGCCAGAAATGTTGTATATAAATTTCGAAATGAGTGACAGGCATCGGAATAAAAATAAGTTAGTTAAAATGAGAAAATAGATGTTCGGAGGGGCTAAGTAAGACGAAGGATAGTAGTATCTAATTCGTTATTTTTTCCATCCATTATCGTGTCAACGTTTGAAGAATAATTCATGATTCAGTAACTTGATTAGACGATGGTGTTTAAGAACTACACTCAATAACAATATTATACAAATAATATTTAACACAATTTTTGGATAATCCTTTCGCCGCTTAGATTTGAATATTTATCCGAAAATGTGTTCCATAAATTGGTTGAAAAAAAAATGATAATTTATGAAAACAATACAACGCTCGTTGTCATTAATATTCTGACCAATTTGAAGAATGCATATTATATTTACCGTGCCATTAACGCTGAGAAGTACTTATTTAGGGCACGGGCTTCTTTAGAGTTTAGACCTTTTGTTTACTTAAAGGTTTCAATATAGTTAACGAGCACGTAATCGAGGCAAAAGGGACGCAAGTTAGCGGTAAACATTCCAAATGCTGTATGAACGACAACATTGCGTAATCCATCAGTTGTTAGTAGGCATCCTTTCAAACTGTAATGAAACCGCCGCCTTTGCAGCCGAGACGCGTTTGTTCAGACTTTGACGAAGCACGTGAATGACAACGGTTTAAGTCAAAATGTCTTTTAAGTATGTTCGCCCGATAAAACAATTATTATTCGTTTACCTACTCACCCTTTAGCGCAATATGTATACTTGCAGAGTTATCGCAGTAAACTTTAAATGTCATTTTGCGTACTAATTATTTATGCTTGTCACTCAAAAGTAAACTCTAAGATATTATGCGCTAAACGCTGTTAAATTATATAAGCCTAATTGGTTTGTTTTTTAGTTAAACAAATACAAGAATAATATAAAAAAAAAACCTCATAATATTTTTAAATAAAAAATAAATTACATTTTTTATGATAAATATAATTTGTATAGCGGGTAATAATGTTTTTGACAATTATACCTTTTTTATGAACTTATCCTAAACAAAATTATGTATCCTAAGGTTTATCCTTTAAATTGTTCCAACATTGAGCCTAAATTCTATAGTTTGGTTCTGAAATGGCCAATGTAAATTTTTTTCGGCAAATCAGCTTTTAAGTTTTTTATTCTTACTGGGCACCGTGTTAAGCTTTTTAAAACTTTTTTGCAAAATATAAAAGTGTATACATTTTAGCGGTCCGACACAATATTGCTAAAAATTGACGCTAGCTATATTATAGCTGTCCTAAGATACAAAATTATATACAGTTATCAACCAATAATACGGTGTATGTTAATTTTTGCAGGTAAAACTTACACGATGATCGGTTCGGCCGACGATCCTCAATCGTACGGCGTCATTCCCAATGCGATTTCGTGGCTGTTCAAAGGGATTCAAGAGCAAAAATCCAGGACGGGAGCACGGTTTTCGGTGCGAGTGTCCGCCCTTGAGGTGTCTGGACCCGCCAGTCCCATTAAGGACCTACTGGCCGGCCAATCCAACGGTAAAAATAGTGTAATTAGTTTAACGATACGACCGTATTGGTATGCAAGCGTGTGTGTGCATTTTCGGGCGATAAAAATCTCAACGACCATCCCCTCCCCTCTCCCCGCGCGGATAAGCTTTTCAACGGCGGCGTGCTGCAGTAAATCCAATCTGAATGGCAAAAATCCTCTAGAATTTTAATGCCCAGATTATCGGTTACCTAACGTTAGAGGGGTAGGTTTTTTTTATCGCCGTCTATAGAGCGGTGTGTACACACCTCGCGAGGGTGTGGTAGGTACGCGAGAAAAACGGATGAGGTCGTTTAAAAAAAATTTCCAAATGGGCGGGGACCGTACATAATATACTGTTCGGAAACCGCACCGTCGCGGTTTGAAAAAACGAACCGAGCAAAAATAGTAATCCTAACGTTAAAGAGCAAAAGTGAGAAAAAAAAACCCTAGCTGCAACCCCGTGGGGAAAACACACGGATTTACGCCCTTTCTTAAGCGTATTTTTCTTTTCCCGAAGATAAGCTTTGCGCCGTGCAGTCATTTCTACTGGCATTTGAATATTATACCCGTCGATAGGGACTCGCTTTATAGTTTAAAAACGACGATACGCTCACACACACACTTACACCAGCCGCAATGGGATTTCGTTAAAGAAAACATCTGAACCCCACCGTCGGGCCGTAAAGTCACATAGCACACTTTGGAATATAATAAATTTCCCCACTCGACTGGCTTTGTCGTTCCTATAGTGTACTAACAATAATATACACCAACGTAAACGCTTAAACAGTAAACACTTACTTACTTATTTATTATGATATAATAACGGAACGCCAGTGAAATTTTTGTCACTGTCAATAATTCACTGAACGTTGGCAATTTTATTGATTAGACCAGCATCGAATCAAGTCGATCTAAGTCAACTAATTCGAGGCCGAGGAGTTACACTTCGTCCAGACCACTCAAAAATAACTGGTTAACTAGATCTTAAGAAAATCCGGTTATCTAAAGTTTTAATAACTGATTAATAAACTTTATGTATTTGTTTCCTACATCTTCAGTAGCAAGTATCACTAAGAAAATAAACCTATTTTAATTACGATAAACATTTTACACTGAACAAATGCTTATTATTGCAACAATCGATAACAGTATGCTCGATTAGGCCATAAAACCATCTTCTGTTTTTATTTGTTCTTAACGTGCGTAAACAAATCAGATAACCCGTTTTGGTTATTTAAATTTCGAAAAGGATTATTTAACGGTAAAAGGGGTAGATCCGTAATAATATTATATTACGGTGTTGGGGTCGGAATAGCTTTGGAGTCGAAAAATGATTTCATTATAAACGCCATATACACCCTAAACGGCAAATACGGTACCCGCTTCCGAACACCTCGAAAAATATATTACAGAATGAACCGATTTCGATTTTAACCGAACTGCTCATTTAAATTTTCATTAAAAACCAAATTAATTCATACGCTCTCGCGCTCATTTCATTTACATTTATATGATACACCATTTCACAGTTTAAAATAAAATAATTTTATAAAATGCTTAGTCGATGAATAATAGTTACTTTGCATTTTACTAATGCAAAGTAACTACGGTTTACCTGTTGTTTTAGTACAACTATAAGGCGCGATTAAAATCACTTATTTGGATATAAAAATCATGTTTTGGACATTCTAATTCAAGTTCAAAGTAACGATTCATCTTTAGTAAAATACACCATAGTAATAGTCCTTTGGGATTTCTGATAGTTTTCACCTAATAGGGGACATTCGGAGATAATAATTGGGAGTAATGTGGGAACTCGTTGGAAATAACTTGCCTACCAGTTAGGTCTCCTCTGGAGATACGTGGAATTTGACTGTGCTTTGATGCTCAATCGTCTTAAAACATTCACGATAGGCCCACGATTCGCAGTTTGCCAATCGACCACAATGGAGGACGACATTCAATACTATCATCGTACAAAATCCGCAAGTGTGTGTGTGTGTGTGTGCATTGCGGTCAAACGTTTACTGTTTGTTTTCATTTCGTGTATTCAATATATTCTCATTGACGACCAAGGGCTTTGACGGTTCATATAATATCCGCCGGCGACGGTAACGACCAAGTTTCGTAGACAAACACCGGCGGCCCATTTCTACCGTCTGACTTAGTCCGTCGGCCGTTTTATACGCAGTACAAAGTTTGTACACCTTAACTATACTTACGTGTTCCTCTTTCAAACCAAGTTTGCGCCGTACGTGCTCGACAAAACCCGGCGAACGGTTCCGGGTCCATCGCTTTTGATTAGCGCCACCGAGAACTGTTTTTCGCGTCGCCGTCCTATGCCCCGCGTCTGGCCTGAGGATTATAATAAGCTCCGGGAATATATTATATATAATATATATATATGTGTGTATATAATCCCGCCGCTGTGCAATCCTCGACGTGGCATAACTCGCCGAGATGAAAGCATCAGGCGCAAATGAGAGACGTTTTTATTAAAAAGTTGCCCGCCTAAACCTTCACGCCTTTTTGACATTTCCCAATGTATATTAATCTTAATTCCGACGGTCACATTCGTATGGGCGATATTATTATGTGTCAGTATATAATATTATATTAGGCATTTTGTGTGTGTGAGTCGCGTGTGTCTGTACGGAAGTTATAATAATATATGAACTTGGGCGCACCGGCGCGACACCTCGGGGAGTGCAATTATTATTACAACAACGAGATTTACGTTTTTACCGACTAGACGGCGTACAATGTTTTATTACATAAATTATTATAAATGATAAGATTCAACACATTTGGTCCGGAAATCTCTCAAACTTTCGTCGACACACATAAATCAAGGCGACAAGACGAGTTCCGCGTTTCAGTTTGTGTACCTATATGATGACGGTACCGCGTGCAGTGTCGCCGTCTACTTGTATTCCACTGTTATTCTCCAAACGTTTTTTTTTTTGTTTGTTTGTTAGGTCATTCACCTTATATTTAATAAGACCTAGACGAAACCGTATGTACGCAGTTTTAAACAAATGCTAATAGCGTGAAGTTGCTTTTAACATACCAAGCTTTTTTTTTTTGTGAAAAACACGAATAATATTATCTATACTACAACGGCGGTAGCATTCAAACTAGTCCTAGATAACGATCATGTGAGATGTTAGCAAACTAGTTTAAGATTAAAAGACGACATTTTTGATAATAATAATATTATGCTTTGCTCGAGCTATAAAACTAGTTTTTATTGTGTACACAAAAAATAAATTACCTTAAATATTTGTTACTTTTTAGTATTTTTCTGTTTTATTTTGAAGAAACAACGTGGTTTACAAAATGTATAATAAAATAAAGAGTATAAAATTTTAAAAAATGCAAGTCCTTTTTTTATTACGTTTTTCAGGAATATTTACTTAAGATTGAAAACTCTGTAAGGTTTATCGAAAAATTGTTGGCGTCACTTAACTAATGGAATAATTTAAATAGTGAACAAATTTAAATCGACAAATTAAACTTTTAAAAAATAGATTTTTTTATTTTAGTTTTTGTATTTTGTTTATTTTTAGACAACGAGTGTACTCCTTATAAATTTGAATAAAAGTTGAGCGATAAAAATCATGTTTAAGTGCGGCGTGGTGGCTGTATATAATATTATTTTTATAGTATTTCGTACACGAGAAACGTCAAGACTGAATACAAAAATCACGAAACCGGGAAATTGTTTTTTTGTTTTATTACTTTCAAATTAAGTATGTCGTTGGTGTATATTATGCGAACCGAGACATTTTTGATGGGACACAAACGTGTTGTTTAGTACAACCGTACGTGATGACACTCGGCGTTCGTGACTCGCACGAGCTTTTACAACTTAATCGTGGCCGTCGCCGCCCCGGAGACACTCACATATTATTATCTAATATTTTCCATCGGATCGCTCGGTGCTCGTGACTCCAGCGTGTAGATAGTAAACTGTTATAGAGTAATAATATGATTTATCTCTCGTTTTGCACAGATGGCGACGATAATTTACCGGGCCCCGGGACATACTTGAGAGGAGAAGATCCGGTACTTGGGACGCCCGTTCAACACTACAGCGAACTCCGAGCTCAAAGTATCGAAAAGGCCGCGTACTACTTGGACGTCGCCCTTAACGTTCGGAACCCGTCGTCCGAATCGCACATGTTGTACACGCTACACGTTTACCAGTACACCGTCCCGACCGGGTCGTCAGCAGGTAAACAGTAGAAACAAGCATAAACGTATTAAATAAACATTCAATTCTACTGTGTTGTTATTATCGTTACAGTCGCCGGAGGCCGCAGTCGCCTTCATCTATTGGATCTGGGCAGTTGCGAACGGAGCAAATCGTCGGGCGGACTTACACTGTCGGGCCTGGGCAACGTTCTGTTGGCCATATTCAACGGTCAAAAACATCTACCACACAGGTTTGCGAACCCTGAGTTTAAGTTTAGCTGTTACATCCCTCGACCAACGCAACGGTTATATTTTAAACCATAACTCCGTGGCCCCCGACCGCAGGGGGTATGAAAATATAATAATAACGAAAAACATTGTCCCGTGAAATATATCCCGAAATCCTAATATAAGTGAGATATTGCTCGAAGGGTGGACGACAGTTCGATAATAAAAGAGGCGGCGGCGGTGGTGTACATCGCCCGGTCGCTTTCTAAGGCTGACGGGGTGACGAAAGTTCCGGTAAGATATTAGGCTATTAGAGCAAAACCCTGGGACGATTTCTTTCCAAATAAAAACTCACCCTCGGTGTTCGTTTCATATACAATATTATATAAAGGCTATTGTAGTCGTTCTAAATCACAAAACAAAGTCGTACCTTGAACTTTGGAGATTTTCACCGAGGGAGTATTTGCTTATATTGTATCATTTCAGTGTCTTATGGGTGACCGTTTTTTATAAATATATGTACATTTTTTTTTAGAGAACAAAAGCTTACACAACTTCTAAAGGAGTGCTTGAATTCGTTGACTTGTCACGCGGCCATGATAGCCCACGTATCGCCGTCCGCCCAACAGTACACGGAGACTCTTTCTGCTGTTCAACTGGCTTCCCGAATCCATCGAATGCGCAGAAGAAGGTTCAAGGTATGTTAAATCGATATCAGTTCTATTGTTATACTATTGGTAATAACTGTTTTGTGCAGTTTGTCGGTGTTGCGAGCGGATGCGGAACGTCTTCTGGTGACACAGATCCTAAAATTCAGAACGGTGCCCTAGGCGCTACTGATATCGAACCATCGAGCAGCGAACAGTCGGCCGACACCGTTATCTATGTGGGTCCTAGCGAAGAGACCGACGGCGAACACCCGCCCGTTCACATACCCAGCTTATCGGCTATCGAAAACCGCTGTCACCCTTTGAACAAGCTGCTTCGAGAACCCGGCCAGAGTAAATCCACACCTTCGTCGCCTCAAAGGATGGTGCCGACGAAGACGGCTCCAGCCACCAAAGCCGCGGCAAAAGCCAACGGTGTAAGTAGTGCCCGCTCTTCACCCGTCCGTACGCCCAAGACTTCCAATGGGAGTGGAAGGCGAGAACGACCCGAGGAGAGATGGATTGATGGACCCCGTGTTTCCAAATCTCGTGCTCACGAAACTAGAGCCATGCTGATGTCCAAGAAGAAAGACGAGACATGGATCGATGGTCCAATGCACGGTGTACCCAGTGCTCAGCATGCAAACGTCTACGGGTTCATGGACTACCACAAGAAAAACATGATAAAAAAATGGGTTGAGAATCAAGTCTATCAGGTGACAGACAAACAAAACAAGCACCGCGAAATGAAGGAGTACACGACTTTTAAAACTGACGAGCTAGGTCCCAGGGGAAGAGCCAGCGGCCAAGAAGAAAACGATGATGACAGTTCAAATGGTGATGTGTTACCTGTAGCCACCAGGACCATGGCAATGGAGAACCACCAAGTCAGCAGAGGTAATGTGTTTTTTTTATACGTCAATAGTTTTTTATTTTTACTCAAGTATTTTGGGTTCAGTAGTGTCTATAGAACGTCTCAGAGGATCTAACGTAGAAGAATACAACGAGGAAGATGACGAAATCGAATTAGAAATCGTCGAAGTCGAAGAACTCGAAGAGCCCGTTCCTACCCAAGATAGTTGTTTACAGGTAAGTTTCAAATTTTAAATGAATTATTATTTGGTACGGATCTATTGAAAATCATGTTACTATGGTATATTATTATTATTAGGTGACCGAAGAAGACATTGCGTTTTGTATGGGTGAACTGGAAAATCCTTTGCCCGAAGTCGACCAAAAAGAACACCCTTTAAGAATTCTCAGCCAAGAAAACATGACCGTTGTATCTACTTTTACGGGTATGTATATTCAAAGGCGCACCGTTTAAAAAACATCTTCGGCTGTTGTCGTCAAACCATTTTATATGATTCCTTTTACAGATTCCTTATCGGTGGCTAACGACATCGACAGAGTGTTTTCAAGACCAAGTGCAAATTCGTTCAGACAGTTCAACCACAGACTCCAATCAGTACCACAAAACGAACAAAAGTCTTCAAAAGGTTAGAAATTGCTAGGTTACGTCGTCACACCGAAAAATTTAACTTTCGATTTTAATCGATTGCAATTTACCTAAGTAAATGAGTCAATTTAACTTTTAGACATTCTATTGGAAATGCTAGTAATAAATTATATTATATTCGACTGTTTAATATAAGTAATTATAATGAGTATGATAATTGGAAACGTAAATAATTAAAAACAAGCCTACTTTGTTAAAATCAAGGATCTAAAATTTAATATGCGCGTGATTACTCAATATCATATTGTACAATTGTATGGTTTGAGTTAAGCATGGATATCTGTAAATTAAACTTCTTAAACCAACATCACGGGTCTAAAATTTGAAGTGTTATACTTTAATTGAACTTTACCGAGCCGGTTAAACTTTGTCAGTCGCTACAAAAACGGCACGTTCGAACCTATCATCTATGATTTTAGTTCCCCAGATAATTTTCATGAGTTTCCGTTTTGCAGATCAATTCCGATACGAACAGCTGTCACGTTTACACGAACTGTACAACGGCAAAGTCGGTGTCCCCAAACACGTGCCTAACAACTCTAACCATTCGACATTGCCGTCGCGTCTGCAATCTGCTTCGTTGTCGGATGTGTTTAAAAACGGCGGTGCAGGCACCGACAGTCTGACCTCAAACCACGATCAAATTCATCTGTCCAACGATTTCGACAACAACAGCATCGCCAGCGAACCGGCATACCTGATGGTAAGCATTATTGTGCTATAAAACGAATCATTATGTTCCTTCTAGACAAATCGTGATAGTAAACGGTATCGTTAATTTTCAGAACGATAACAGTCAGTTTTGTCACAACTGTCGAATGAACTTGACGAGCACGGACGACTTGACTAGTAACCTGTGGATGCACTACGGAGAACTTCATACCCTGAGTCGTTTTCACTCTGTCAAGCATAACATGTAAGTGAAATACCGCCATCGCCGTTTAACACTTTATAATACCCATGTGTTTTACAGAAGTAGAAATATTTCAAACTTGAGGCATCCGGACGGAGCGTCTAATCCAAATTTACAGTTGGAGACTTGCAGAGAGCCCGGTAACGGAGCCGAAGACTGTAAAGAAAAGAGTCAAGGTAGTGACGAAGGTGACATCGAAGAAGTGCCCTATCCTCCTCCACTGCAAACGGAGTTACTTTCTTTAAGCAGAGACGGGTTAGTGTTTTCACAGAATGAAATAGATCATTCGACGACCAAATGGCAGAATTTTATTCTATTTATTTATATTTTATTTCAGATTGGACAGTAAGAGTCGTGCGCAATCGCTGCTGAACGGATTCGGGTATTCCGGGAGGATGAACCAAAATTACATATCCAACGGTTTAACCAATGGCTTAACAAACGGCCTAACCAATGGTAAAGCTCACGACCCGGGAGGGAACGGTAATAATACATTTATGGCCAGAATCGAACCCTATTTAAATTTCAAAATCCAAAACTTAGGCCAGCTGCGAAACAAAGAACAGAACGGCTGGAACGGAGGTAAGACGCGATTCGAGGACATCAAACAGCTGAAAGAGTTCAACTTGACCAATAATAAACTCTTCAACCAACGGTGGTTTCTAGACAAAAAGTAAGCAAAGTAAAAAAAAAAAGTTCAATAATAGCTTTTGACGTAGAAATGTTATTAAAATGTCCCTTAGACAAGCATACCTCCCGAAACCGTAAATATTTTTACTTTAAATACGAGTAGTCATCTATAAAACATATTCGAAAAAAAAATGATTCAAATGATTTTTCTCTATGAAGTTGTTTACTCTAAATACATTATTATCCATATAAGTTTGTAATCGTACGATTTGGTTTTTAAATAATTTAAATAATTGTTTACTCAAATAAATAATGAAAAACACATTTGGGTGGAAATTTGCCTAACTCTGTTCAGATATTAATCCGAATTGTCTCGACTACTTAAAGATATCGTTCGTTTTAAGGTTTTCTCATTCCACTCTAGATCCAGTCAGCTATTCGTTTTATTATCAAATAATAACAAACCTAATCAGTTTTAATTATTATTCCAGAAACCCCAGATCGAAGAATTTGAACGAAACGGGCAAGAGCAATAATGTGCCGGCTACCCAAAACGGCAGCAAATGTGATAGTTAAGTCATGGTGTTTGTTACTGTACTTTAGCGTGTGCGATTGTGTACAGTATATAGTATTATTATCAACTTGGACCTTTTAACAGAAACATTAGAAGTCCGTGTTGTTGTTTTTTTTATGCGAAATATAAAATTATATAATTCAAGTTTCCCCCAAAACAGCTATTCTATAAACAGGTACAGTCTAAAAAAAATGTTTTCCAAAGGAATTGAGATAAACGTTTGTCCATCAGACTTTACACCACGTTATTGTTTAGTTTGTATTCTATAAATGTTAGAAGCATGATAAAAAATATAAAAACATATTTATCATACATAATTATATTATTATATGAAATAACTAAGTTAATTGTACTGTTTGCGTTTGCCTTTTGCAACACGCATACCTTAACACAATAAAATGTCACCATATTTAAAAACATAAACCTCCTCCAAAGCTCGCAGCACGCATTAAAGTATTATTTTTCAACTGTAATGTATCATATACATTTATAAATATATAATACACTATAGTAATAATTATAGACTATATTATTACGAGAATTGTGTACCCTCTTTAGAATACTTTTATTTATTTACTTTTCTTTTGTTAACAGTTTATAATGAATATATAACTATTTATTGTTTTGAAAATGTATGTACATATTATTATTTTCATTTGTTATTGTTTTTTTTTTCAAAATGATAATATTATATAGTTGTATTTGATTCGAAATAAACTACAAATTATCGTGTTATATAACAATGTAGTTTAATCGTTTCCAAAAAAAAGTTATGAGTATTCACATTTCATGCAGATACATGGATATGTCATGCAATCTAGTATCTCTAATATCTTATCTCTAATCCATTATCTCTATTTATTCACCTCCATAATCCTTAAGTAATGATAATGACGTCAGTACTGTGACATTTAAAATGTCGCTCGAAAAGTGTGATGGACAAATTTTCAGAATTACCCCCAGCCATAAGACATCCATGTCAAAAAAAAAATGTTGCTTTTACTCGATTCATTATAATAACTGAACATCATAAATGGCAAAAAAATAAAAACAAAGTAAAATAAATTTCTAAATTTGATCTCGGCTAACATAATGTTAAGCCGCAGTGCCCAGCGCTTAAATATATCTACTTTGGAACATGATATGATGGGTGTTAGTCAAAAAGCACTGAATCAAAAGCATCGACTTTCTAAGCTTAGTATACTATGGAATTATTTTTCAAGTAAGTTAATTATCTATTTTTATGGTTTGAATATTTTCAAAAACGTCTAAAAAAACATATATATGTAGTTTAAGAACTTTTCTGATTTTTTGCGTACCCACTATAAGTATTTGTGTTAATTAAACTTGTCAGTCTGGAAAAAAGAATAGAGGGAAAATATGGATCATAAAGACGTGTAAATAATTAATTTGTAGTAAAATCTGAATTAACCAGTGTTGGCCAATTATTTATTGATGACTATGTGAAAAAAATAATTTCTCAAGTTCTTGAGCACACGCGATCTAGCGAACAATTCTGGAACTTCGCTTTTACCGAGTAACCTAACAGATGGCCTTAAGAAATATAACTTATTTAATGGAAACTAAATATTATGTTTACTTAATGTATTTATTAATATAAAATTTGGTTAATATATGTACTACCTGTTTATAATAGTAATTTAATAATATTGACAGTTTACAGGCAGTTATAAAAAAAAAATTAATATTTTTCTTTTTCTAACGTTTTGTTGTAAAATATTTAGGGTAAAAAATTGTTTTTATGTTTTAAAAATTATTAATCTGTCTGTAGCTATAGATTAATATTATAAATAGTTTTTTCTTTAGAAAATAGGCGTCGGCTACAAACGTCATTAGCGTTAATTGTGGTGTAAACTGTAATTGGTTATAATATAATATTTTTGAAGCTTTTGTGTTGCCAATATTCGATTTCCATTCAAAGCTTTATAAAACAAAATATTAAAGTTAAATACATCTAGATATTGTATACCTATGATTTTAGATATTGAAGATATATCTTTATGTTATGACATCCAACATTTAACAAAAGTTGGGTAACATTTTACAACATTATTCGTAACAAAAACTTTACAAGAAGCAATGTTGTCAGTACTCTATTACGATTATCGTTTTATATAAATTAGAGGAAAAAGAAAGCAAACTAAGCCTGAGTGAAATTCTTAGTGGGTCATGTGCTAGTTAATAGATTATTGTACAGAACAGAACCATAAAATTTAAATCTATCGATAATCAGCCACACCTATTTAAAAAAAAATCTATAGCTAAATTATGTATATTAATGGTTTTACTGTTTTAACGGAACAAGAATTTAAAACGCATAATATATAATGGAAAATCTTTACAGTTCTTTTTAATTGGTTTCAAATAAATGCAAATCGCTAAAATCTATTAGTGAAACATAAAACAATTTATTATAATGTGCTTTGAATTAGTTTTTTCTTCGCACGTTATGTTGATTAGATGTTGTCAATCTAGGAATAGGTATGATGATGACTTAATTATGGTAAATTCAAAGCGGGTTTTTTTTATTGAGACTATATAGTAGTAGATATATTTGTAGATAGATAGCGCTAGTATGTTTCGCATTTATTATATTATGTATTATTAAGTTGCAACTTTTAGCTAGAACATTACCATTTATTTTTAACAATGAACTTATTTATTAATTATCTGGCAATCTATAATAAACTGTCAAATCATTAAAATACACATAATCTTTTTTGGTCATTTAACGAATTTCGTTAATTTAGAACGTTAGAATTACAGTTTAAGCACGCCATGAATATAGTGTTCAAATTAAATAAATTCACGTTTTATGTGAATCAAGTTAGTCTGGTCTTGGAAGAAGGGTTTTAATTTGACACCTATGTATGTTATATTATATTATATTGATACCTATAGTTGATAGACACAAAGAAAATAAACGGACGAATCTAGTTAAGCGAGTAACTATAAACGGTTTACTGAATATCATAAAACAATAAAATTCATCATGTATGAGAATTAATACATTAGCTATTATCCGTTAAGCTAGTTTAAATGTTGAGAATAAAAATTACTTTAAACATAATTATAATTAACCGTACGATTTAACGTCTCCGTCCATTATGTATACCTAGATAATACGTTTGCATTAAATATTTAAAAATCCAAATCTCCCGTTAATTAACAGTTTAAAAATATCAGGAAAAACGAAAAGTACTGTTATTTTAAATTATATCACACTCTCTATACAATTGTAATAAATTCAATAAGGTATAATGAGCTCAAGACTACTAAAGGAACAACTTTTTAGTACACACGTTTTACAAACATCGAATTTTGGCCGCTTTACTTTAAAGTCACATTGCGTATGTGATGGCGGCGGAGGCAACGTATACGTGTGCTTTATAGTGCCCCGGTACACATATTTATTGTTCAATAAATAAATAAATACCTTTATGTCGATGACGCGAAATCCCAACACGAATTTTCCACGCAAATTTCGGAATGACCCCCAGCCAAATAACATATCCATGTTAAATCGCAATAGTTCTTAAGCACTCCGTTCGTCGATAAAAAAATGTATGTATAAAAAAAAAATAATCCAACCGTGAATTGCTAGGTACCGAGAATGGATCCGAGACAAGCTCCGGAGAGCGTACGATTCATTTTTCCATTTGCGCCATTTTATATTATGCGGAACAGAAGGCCAATATACCATATTTTATCATGTGTGTGGGTTCCCTCCTAAGAAAAAAAAAATAATAATAATAGGTTTTAGAGGTGTATATTTTTTATTTGGTTTCGGCTACTTTGTCAATAAAATATGCCGCCACTGTCAATGCACTCTTACCGGAAAAACTAATTTTTTTCACGTCCACGTTGGCGACTCATGATAATAAGGTTCTTATTTTCGACGCGTTTTACTTAGAACGGTATTGCAAATAAATATATATATATATATCTGCGATTGGAATGTTGACTTCACCCCAAATCTTGAGATGATTCATTCCATTCACACGCCTCTACAGTGTTTAACTCTTCTAAACCGTTTCGGTTGTGTCATGTGCGTATAATCGAATGAGTTTGATGAATATTTGTGACGCTTCCGTATGGGTTATAAATTATGAGTTTAGCATAATACCTTATACTACCACTGCCCACAGCAATAATAGTAATACTACTATAGCTGCTCGGTCTTCCTTCGAAAGAACATATAAATCAAATGCTTAATGGTAAGCACATTTGAAGCTTAATACTTTCACCAATTAAACACGAAAATTAAGGTGCTTGAAATGAAAACAATTTTTTTTTAATATTTTTTTTTTCTCAGGCTAATTATTTTATTGTTGACATAATTTTAAAAAAATATTCATATGAAAATGTTTGAATAAAATAATTATTTGGATAAAATATATTAGGTTTTCTCAAATAAAAAAATTATTTGAATAAATTAGCTATTATTAATCGTTATTCGAATACAAATTGACCAACTATGATGGCATATAATGTGCGGTGATTTATCAAGATTTAGATATTTTAATTCACTAAATCAGCCAGTAAATAGAAATAACAATATCTTGTTTTACAAACATCCAATAATATAACTATTGAATATTAGATATAAGATATTATAAATCTTCAATAATTACTATATTTGATATGTATTATCAATTTCCATAAACTTATTCGAAAATATAATATTTATTTTGATATGTAACAATTGTTACATAGACCCTAGTGGTTATACAACAATAACATAATATATATAATTTTTTCTCCATTCTAGGAAATCGCCAAGTGAGTTGCCAAATTCATAGAATGGGCAAAAGATGGCTAAAAGGTGCCCATTTCATAAATTGACTAAAACTAGTAAAATACAAATATTTACAATATTTATAAATGTTAATACGATATTTTTAATAAAGTCTTTTGTTTTCACATAATGTTGTACATACAACTGGTATTAAGTAATTTTAAATATACTCTAGTTAACGTATTGAAAAAAAAAGTGTAATTAATTTTTTTTTTAAATAAAAATAGTTTATGTGCGTGTAAGGATGAAATAGTTATATCAAGGAAATAGCTTCAGTTCGTCCGGTCGGGTTGTGTTATACAAATGGACAACTCGTTGTTCGTACAAATTTTTATTGCTAAAATAAAATAATGTTTTACAAACGTGTTCGATCAATTTATTTTATTTATTTTATAGCGATTAATTTAATGACACAAGTAAATGTGTGTGAAATTCTTATTAAGAAATAAATAAATTAAAAATACGTGTTCATTTTTTTTTTACAACTTGTGGTTTTCAACAAATCTCTTGTTTTACTTGCAATCAAGTAAGAACTAAAACCAATTATAATTTATAACTCAATAGTAAGCCTTGGGATCTAAAAAACCTTGTTCTTAATCAAAGAAAAATGTATACATAAAACTTATAGCGGCTATATCTACTCTAATCAAAGTTCTAGTGCGGTCACTACTCACTGCGGTAATTAATACATAGATAATATTTTATATTTGTAAAACGATAAATTACTCTCATTAAAGCCACACAGCCGTTGAAATCTCAGCAT